CGCGACTCCCCAACCCGATTAGGCCCTATCGGGTACCTACTACGAGTACCAAGCAGCAGCTGTTGCGCTTGTACTATCTGGACACACACTTGGTACCTCGCCATCTCTCTTTTTGTGCCCAGCGCAGCAGTTCTAAACTGCATGGCCCGGGAACCTGCGGGATGCGTGGTGCAATCCAAAGTGCAAAAGCCCGCACGGTGCTCCGCAACTGACTACGCGTGACTCTCTCAGCAGAGCCCAACAAAGCTGTCGAGGCCGCAGCCGGAAGAAAAAGAGTCAATGATTGAGCTCGTGAGCGCGCACGGTGCACGGCGGCTTGTACTCAGTATGCGTCACGGAGTACTTGCATGGGCCCCAAACACCGTGTACAAAGCCCAGAGCTCGTACTGATACCCAACATTAACCTCAATGCTGCAACGTGGTCCTGAGCACTCCAGTCGAGTACTGTAGGTACTTGTACGAGTCCTGCCTAAAAACGAGGTGTGTGCCAGGACCCTGCGCCGACCGCCGAGTACCGAGTACCCCGTACTCGTGTCCAGGCTGCACCCGCACCGCCGCATGCACGCCGCCGCCGGCCAGGTACCCAGTACTCGCACTACTCGGCCTAGTTGATCCAGTCCAGGCCAATCCTCCTACCAAGTCCAACCAAGCGCTGTGCCTACTGTAGACTCTAGGCGGCGTGCTAACTGTACCGATACCGTTGTTGACCTGTAAGTAGCGCCCTGTAGCGCTCGTTCAATGGGACGCTGGTAGCGGGCTAGTGCGCTGCCCCACCCCCCCAGCGCTGCTGCTGGCAGGTTCTCGTGGCTCTTGTGCACACCCCCGTGCTTCCACTCTCTTCCACCGGCCATTTACTCATCCCCAGTCCAGTCTCCAGTCTTCCCTTTTCATCCTCTCTCTCACCCTTCCTACTCCTACATTACTTCTTCATTCCCTCCCCCATCACATCTTCTCCTTCCCCCCTGGCACTGCTGTCCTCCATCACCAAAGGCCTTCTTTCTCCTCGAGCTTGCGTCTCTCTCAACTCCTATTCGTCGTCCTCGAAACTCTGCCATTGCGCCCATTCGCATTGACTCCAAACTCTCAATTCGCCACCCCGAGACGATCCGCTCGCAAGTCCGTCAACTATCCCGACCGATCCCCTGATACAGTCGACGAGAGAAAGAAGGGTCCCTTTGCCTTGCAAGATCCCCCTACAGCGGTCCATCAGCGCCTTTGTCTACTTGACATTCTCGACGCCGCAACAAGCTTCCCGTCTGTCAGCGTGTTACTGTCCTGTCTGTCACTGCTTCGCCGCAAACTATATCGTCGCCAATTTCTACTCTATTGCCTCGGCACTCAGTCTCCCGCCGTTCTCGTCATACCAACCCCGGTCTCGGCCCGCACTCGACATCTTCAGTCAACCTTCATCGAGTCACACGGCGGATAAGGCATAAGCCTCTTTTCCCAACAGCGGCTTTTTCACCCAAAAGTTTTCCATCGGCTCAACTGCGCTCGCGACTCCAGGACAATCTTCGTCGCCTTGATTGAGTCACCCCCCTTTCAGCGAGAGCTACGCTCCGCTTCCGGCCGCCAGTTTGGTTGGTCCGCCACGTTGCTTCACTCTCCTTGACTTGTCACTCCTCTCAACACCATACTCAACTCGCCTACCTCTCTCGACTCGACGGATCCGACCCTCGCCGTCTTCTCATTTCCGATACAAGCAACCAATAATCATCACCAGTCGTTCATTTACGCATAACCTCCATAACGCGACCTCGATGCTATCATAACGAATCTCCATCTCTTCTAAACTTTCTTCTCTATACGCAAGCCGGCTTTCGGCATCTTGGCCACGGTTCTTCATCACTTCGCATCTCCTTTGTCTCTTCTTTTTTCATTACCTCTTTTTTGAAACCTCTCAACAAATGCGCACCTGATAAAACTACTACTACTACACTCCGCCAAAACATTTCCACACCAACCAACCAACAAATATCATACGTGGCTACACCTGTCGTCTTACCTCTTTTCTTTGTCTAACGGCTTGTACATTCCGGTTATCTGTTTTTCGATTCTTCAACTGCTTTTCTTTTTTCGAGCAGTCTTTTTTTCGTCTCTTCTCCTTACTTCGCCTCATTGCAACCTTGCGTATAGAAACGTCGAACGCTTCTTTTACACAAAGGCTGCCCTTTGATTCACGATAAAAGAGAAAGGCATATATCGGTTTTTACATATCTTGTCACCAAACAAAACGCCTGTATAAATAAGTTTTGCTTGTCTTGTTTTTCGTCTCTTTTTATCTCGACTTCCCCCTTTTTATCTTATATTTTATTTTATTTTTCCCGTCTCAACTTTTTCACCATGGAATGCTTGAGGAACAAGTTCACTGGTGGCCTCCTCCTTGATGGAGGTCGCTACCAGACCATCTCACCACTCAACCACGGCTCTTTTGGCATGGTCTTCATGGCTCAGGATCTCGTGGCCAACCAGGTTGTCGCCATCAAGTGCCTGACCAAGAAGTCAGCCCCTTGCGACATCGGTCTCGAATTCGCCGTTGACGACCAATCTGAGGAGTATGCTTTGCATAACGGCCTCGGATCGCACCCCAACATCGTCAACCTGCTCGACACGTTTGAGACTGATGCGCACGTCTTCTTGGTCATGGAGTTTTGCTCTCAGGGCGACCTCTATGAGGCCATCCGCAACGGTCATGGACCCCTCGAGACCGAGCATGTTCGTCAGTTTATGCTCGAGTTGGTCGATGCTGTCGCGTTTATCCACTCTAAGGGAGTCTACCACCGCGACATCAAGCCTGAGAACATCTTCCTCACTCAAGATGGCGCCATGAAGCTTGGTGACTTTGGCCTTGCGACTACCGACAAGTGGTCTTATGAGACCACCGTTGGCAGTGACAGGTACATGGCCCCTGAGCAGTTCGACTCCGCCGGTGCTGGATACTCGCCCGCCGAGGCCGACATCTGGGCCATTGGCATCTGCCTCCTCAACATTCTCTTCTCTCGCAACCCCTTTACCACCCCCACCGAGTCTGACCCTCTGTTCCTTGACTTCTCTCGTGACAAGCAGAGCCTCTTTGATGTCTTCCCTAGCATGTCCCAGGACACCTACGAGGTCATCGTGCAGTGCATGAACATGGATCCCAGGAAGCGTTCCCTTGAGGGTGCGCGGGATGCCCTCCTTCGCGTTGTGAGCTTTACGACGGAGGACGAGAGCCTTGACGACTTTTGCGGTGCTGAGAACCCTACTATTGCATCCGCCCATCGTGAGCCTCTTCGTACTCCGTCGATTCAGACCCCACACGTTGATGGAGGCGCTTTCCCGTGGACCAAGGCGCTTAATGAGACCCCTGCTCATCGTCGCCAGCTCAGCGCTATTCCTGACGATGAGAGCTACAGCGAAGACCTCTTCTCCAAGTCGGGTGAGACAAACGACTGGTGCTCCGCCTATGTGCAGACCCCGTCGTCTTCCATCCTGGACACGCGCATCATTGAGTCTCGCATGAGGGCCTTCAACATTACTCGCCCTCCTCCCCTGCCCAAGGCCAAGGTTTCTCCAGCTGCTGGATCTCTGCCCATTGCTATGGGCAAGCCGTTCCCTTCTATGGCCACCGTCTTTGGCATGCAGAAGGACACGGTTTCCAAGAGCTGGAGCGACATGTGGGATGAGGACGAGGAAGAGGAGCAGCAGGCGCAGCAGCGAGTCAACGCTCTCCAGGAGCTCAACTCGCGCACCTGGAGCCACGAGAGCACCAACGAACATTCGGTGCCAAAGTCTGAGCCCGTTCCCGCGGCTCACGACATCAAGGGGGATGTGGACGATGATTTGGTTGCAGATGGTTTCTTTTTTCACGAGGCCGCGCCGCCCACCAAGCACCAGGCCTTTACCATCACGCCGCGCTACTCGCCTCCGTCTAAGCGCGGCAACATTGACAAGTGGGCGGCGCTTGGTGAGCGTCGTAGGGGCCAGAATATCAGCATGGAGCCGGAGAAAAGCCCCGGTTGGAAGCAGCGTCGTCATTTCGGGTTTGGATACAGCAACAACAACAATAACAATCACAAATATTATGAAGCGGGCGTTTGGGATCATTTTTCTACTTCTCACAATAACAATACTTTACACAACAATTATGGAAAGGGCTGGAGCAAGGATCGCCTCAAGGAAAATTCTTGGACTAAGGCCAAAGATTGGAACTGGCGCAAGGATAGGCGCACCGATCTGGGAGATGTTGAGTGGGTTGGTGGTTGGTAAGGGGGCCTCCCCTTTTCTTGTTTGGGGCTTTCTCAACCACCAATCGTGGTAATCGCCGCCATCGTTTTATTGCTGGCATGGAAGAAGACAAAAATTTGTGAGCAGTTATTCTTAGAGCGCTTGGACCAGGATCATGGAGAACACACACAAAAAAGCAAAATGGTTTGCCGTCTCTGCATCGAGCCCCCTATACTTGGGGGATCTGCATTGTAGACGGCGATTTATTTCGGTTTGGATCTTCATGGTTGGTTTACTTTTTGGTTAGAGTACTTTGAGGGGCACTGCTTGCTTTTGCTTTTGTGCCGGGGAGGGACGATATAGGCTTTGACTCGCTTTCTGCGTATCACTTATTTAACATAATAAAACATACCAGAGGTTACCCACTCACTTATAAGTTTTCATGTGCACTGTGATGTATTTGTTTGTAGTCCTGATAGAGATGGGAGCATTCCAGCTTACGTCAGGTGTGGCATGATGTTAATGATTCGTTTATGAATTACATCAGACTTGAGGCTCGTTGTAGGTAGGCTTGAGCTGATGATTTGATCGTGACTTAGATGACATGTATATACAAAGCCTTGAAGGCTCCAAGGAGTTTTTGCTTTGCGGATTTACGCCAATGAACTCAATTGCACCAGATGAGAAACGTCGTCTACTTGAAGATGTTTCAAGGTGGAAAGCTTATGCCAAATAAAAAGCTTATGCTTTATAGTGATCAAAAAAAAAAAAAAAAAAAAAAAAAAAAAAAAAAAACACGCTTGAAACATTTCGAACAACCTAGATGAGCAATTCCTTTTGAGAAGATAAAAGAAAAAGGAATTGTATCGTAAATGCCCAGAAAATGCTAGATGCCATAAACCCATGTAAAAAAAACAACATATACCACGCCATGGATGGATATATATATAAAACAAACGCAAAACAATTCTGGTTCAAGCGCCAATAAGCTCCTTTGGCAAAAACGTAAACACTGTGCCAATGAGGCCAAACACACCAAACACCACCAACAAGCAGTACAGCACAAGACTTTCCCTCGCCTTTACGTCCTTTGCGTAAAGCTTGAGGTAAAACGAGATGGGCAAGATGATAGAGATGAGCGAGCACAGCGCCGCACCAAGGAATGCGCAGACGGAATCAAACGCCGGAAAGAGGATGGATATGCCGAGCAAGATGAGGACGACTACAACACGCACGAGGGTCCTTTGACAAGACCTAATGAAGGCAGGTTTCCAATCTTCGGTACCGTTGGAGGTGTGATGATGATGATGAAGGTGGTGGTGGTGAAGCCCGCAGAGGACGTCGGCGGTGGTGATGAGGGGGCGAGCGTTGAGCGGGAGTTTAGTCAGGGGAATGATGGTGACGCAGATGCACATGAAGATGGTGAGGCCTTTGGGGAAGCTGGAGCTCCTGATGATGTTGTTGGTGATGGCCTCACCGATGCCGTCGCCGAACATGAGCATGCCGACGATGGCGAGACAGGTGTCTAGAACGTACTGTAGTTGTGGGAGCATGTGTCAGTTTGTGTTCAAAGTGATGTAGAGAGAAGTTTGAGGGGATACACGTACGGAAAACGAAAATGTGACGGCAACGCCTTTGCCCCATTTGTGAGGGTGGCGCATATCTCGATAAATCTGTTAATTTTGCAATGTTAGGAAAACATGATTTGACGATTGTACAAACACAAATGGGATCTTCTTACCGAAGGAAATACGGAGTGAGCTCCCCATGGGCTGAGCATGAGGCCATATGCCAGAGGCAGTGCCAACCAGTTCGTAGGGAAGAGGTGTGTAGCAGCAGGTTCCCACAAGGAGCCAGGGGCATCCGGCTTGATGAGGCCATCAGCAATGACAACGCACACGACTGGGTGAGAAATTATGAGTCAGTATTGATCGAACACTGCAGATATAAGAAGATAGAGGTGGGCTCACTGCAAAAGGTAGAAAAGATGCCAATGATGCTAGTATAGCTCAGCCAGCGTAGAGGCAGAGCGTTGAGAATAAGAGTTATGGCGGCGCAGATGCACTTCCACACTTCTACACTTGCCAGGCCGGGAAGCAGCAGGGCAAGCGAGTCGGAGAACAAGATGATGAGAGCAACACAAGCCGCAATGAGCTCAATGGTAAACAAGGCTGATACAATGATACGAGCTCTGGTACCAAACGAAACATATGCCAAGTCAGAGTAGGTAATGAGGCTGGCATCGTAATCCATGCACTTGGCCAGCAAATTGGCCGTGTGCCCTGTGACAGCCGCAGTCACTGTGAGAATGACAAGGCCGAGGACCCAGCCGCTCATCTTAAAGGCCAGCGGTAAACTGAGGAGTCCAACGCCAATGATGGCATTGATGGAATTAAAGATGGATTGAGGTAAGGTGCTCTGGCCATCGATAGTCAGAACAACCTTGTTTCCTTGCTTCACCTCCTTGACCAAGATGGGCTGCTCCTCGCCATAGGCAGCATCTTCTTCTTGGGCCGCTTCCTCCTCCGTCTGGCCTGGCGCTATTCGAATAACGGACGGTCGATGTCGAATAAGCGACGGGCCACCAATTGTACCATAACTGCGATATGAGCCATAGCTACCAATGATGCTGGGCGTAGCCAAGTAAGGTGACGATCCAAATATGCTCGAATGGCTAGAAAAAGTCGCCGGCAGCGCACCGCTCGCCATTTCCACGTCGACATTCTGCTTGCCCTCGCGCTCCCTGCCATGCGAATCTACGATATTGTTGCTCGAGCCAGCACCAGCAAAGGGACTGCCCACCCGCGGCGACGCCTCCGAGCGCCGCCCAAACCCACCATCGTCGCGGTCATCGTGGCTTGTCGTGTACTCGATCTCCTCGCCGTCCATCTGCTGATCGGCCGCAAAGACAAAGCTCGGGCGCCGAGGAAGGACCTCTGGGAACGCGGCGGCGCGCTGCCAACTGCGGGCAAAGGACCTGAAGCTGTTGACGCCGCCAACATCTGCCATGGCGGCAAGACGGTCTGTGACGGAGGACCTGTGCAACAAGGGGACTTTTATTAGCATGTTTGCGCAAACATAATTGTCTTGTCTGTTCTGTTCCCGTTCTTTGTCAGCTTACCGTCTGCGCTCAATGTGTCGAGCAGCAGGATGCGCGCCACCATCGTCAGCGTCGTCATCGTCGAGCAGCGGCCGTTCCTCTGCGAAAGGGTTTGATGAAACGCTGCCTGAGGGCGATGCCAGGCCGTCGTACTCGTCCCATGTGGTGGGATTCCTCGAGGGCGGCGCCATTGGAGGGCTGAGAAGCCGCGGTGCTGGTTTGTCGTGTGTCCGCTGGTAGCCGCGTGGCGATGAGGTCAACTTTTTTTTCTCTCTGGTGGTTTGGGTGTCTATATCATGTATGAGGATGATGCGCAATCGAATGTCTTTGTATAGAAAAGAATAGAGAAATAACGGTGTTTCTATGAATGAACCGACTCGCGGAACAAGAAAGAAACGGTGTGGCAGGCAAAGAGTAAGGGAAGAATGGAAGAGAAAACTAGAGAAAACAAGAAGATATCCCCAACTGCGTGTGATCCCAGGCGGCAACGAGATAGTGAGGGGTGGCACCAACCCCCCCTTGGCCCTTGGCCCTTTCAGCGCAAACACCCCATTATCATACTCGTATCATGCGCTAAAAACAACAAGGGAAAAACACAACCATGTTAAAATACCTAGCTCCTAACAGCAGGTCAAACGGAGGCTATTCAGTCGCTATAATCAAGGGCAAATGCTCACCTGGTCAAAGCTGGAGAGGGAAACGAGAGAAGCTAGACTATGTAACTAGGCTGGAGTTGGGACCATGGCCTCATGCATGGGAGCTTATCTTGTTTTTTTTTTGCGCGCGATGGAGATGAGAGTGTGGGGGGGATGGTTTGCCATGGGAGTACTTGGGTTTGTATAGGCGGAGAGGTGATGGCCGAGGTAGCTGTCTGTCTGGGTTAAAGTGAGTACTTGCATAGGCACATTGATGGGATGCAGCTTGTGTGTTTTAGCACCTTGGCAGCAACCAACATCGTCATCCGACATTGACATTGATTGACCGGCAATTGATGAGGATTTCTAGGTATCTACTTTACTTCTTTATTCTCAAATCTTCTTCTCCTCTTCTTTTCTCCTTCCATTTCAATCTCGATAACACCCAATCCATCTCCATTACTTTTCACCTTTATCAATTAAAACCCCCTTCGTTGTAGTATCAATCAATCTCACATGATCCCCCCTCCACACACACTAAAACCAACCCATTACGGCACCTAATCCACCCGCCCCAACTCCCTTATCAGCCACTATCAGCCGCAAATCAACTCTTATCTCACCAAAAAAAGCATCTCCAAACCGCATCTTCAAAAACTCCACCATCACCAGAAACCCCCTACGCAATGAATTCTTCAACATCATCCCTCTCAGCAGCAACATCTTCCCTCTCCCCCATCCTCCCCATCCTCAACGCCTTCAACCACCGCCACCACAACCAACACCGCCTCGCACACTGGTGGCCCGTCTTCCGCATCTTTCGTCGAACCGTCCGCTCCCTCATCGACGACCTGACTTCTCGTCGGAGACAAGATGCCTCGTCTCCTCCTCCGCGCGCAGTCTGGCTCAACAAGCACTTTATCTCCAGAGCATACATGTAAACCACCTCAATTTCCCTTACCCAAAAAAAAAAAAAAAAAAAAAAAACAGTTTCAGTAATTGACTCGTGGGGGAATAATAGAGCCTTCTCACAACTCGCCGCAGACAACCAACACGCTCCCCTCGGCCTACTCCTCCTCGCCATCCTCGCACGCATACATGCCGCCCTCACACAACTTCTCGATCAACCAATTATTCCTCCACCATCCTCAACTACTCGCGCCAACGACGTAAATCAGGATAAAGGCGTTGCTATAGCTCGCCAGAAACAACCCCCACCAACAGAGCGCCTAAAAACGCAAGCCGCTATCCAACCTCCCTCAGACGAACGACAAGGTGAAAAGCTCGATCGAGACTCGATAAAGTCATCCAAGTCAAAATCAAAGGAAATATCATCAAAAGAGAAAAAGAAGAAGAAGAAGGCAAAGGGAGACGCACTATCCAGTCTGTTCGGCTCCTTGGCGTAACCAAAGCAAGCAACATTGTCCTTTCAGCCAGTCATGTTCATATATAGATACCCCGGCTTTTGCCAGCATCAATGCGCATTTTCAATGTCCATAATAAAAAAAAAATTCACATTCATACTTTCCCATTGCATAAAAAGTTCGTTTTCATTACCAAAAATAAAAACTAAAGACAAAAAAAAACATCAAGAGAAACAAGGCCGACGAATTAATAAACCCTACTTGGCCTCCCTCATACCGTACATGTTCAATAAGGCTGTGCTTTCCCACCCTTGTGCGCCAGCCTTTGTAAGTTGATAATAACCACTCCCTCCCCCAATAATCTTGCCTCGTAACGCATATTCCAAGGTATAAAGAGCAGTTTGGGCGGGGGACGGTTTTTCTAAATCCTCCCCCAAGACCATCCATTCTTCTCCCCAATTTCCAAACCAAGTCGTGTTGCTTTTTGGCCTCGTGGCGAGGGCTCTATTCGCGTATTTCGTTCTTTTTTCACGTCTCAATATCGCGCTGGATATCGTGCTGGATATCGCGCTGGAATTGAGTCAAGCACGATCGGGTCGCTCTCAGTGCCCGGGTCTGGCTTCTAGTAAGGGCGGTAGGACCAGATGCGAGCCTTCATGTCGCCTGAGCCGGTTGCAAAGTAGCCTCCTTGCGGGCTCGGGGCAACGGAAATGACCGAATTCTTGTGTCCCTGAAGCATGAGCTGGGTCGTTCCCGTTCGGGGATCCCAAAACTGGACGCCGCGGTCCTTGGAGCCAGACAAGACCCAGTTGGCGTCGGGGGTCAGCGCAACAGACAGGACAAAGTCTCGGTGACCCTCAAACGTCTTGACGCACTTGCCGCCCTTAGTGCCAGCGCTGGGAGGGCCACGAGGGGAGCTGAGCTCCCACATCTTGATCGTCCGGTCCAGACTGCCGCTGACCAGGTCTTTGCCGTTGGGCGAAAAGGCCACTGAATAGACGGAGTCCTTGTGCCCATCGGGTCCTTCCAATCGCTCGACCAAGAAGCCAGTCATAATGTCCCAGACTCGAACACTCTTATCCAAGGAGCCGGCAGCAACGAATTGCGTATCGGGGGAAATGGCAACGGTGGTTACACCATCCTCAATCGTAAGAGTGAGGGTGTTAGTGCCCTGCTCAATATCCCACAGACGCACGGTTCTGTCGCCACTACCCGACGCAATAGTACGACCGTCGCGGGCAAAGTCGAGCGAGTAGATATCTTGCTCGTGGCCCGAGAAGTGGTTACGAATGGTTCGGGTAGCAATATCCCACACCTAAAGATGGAAATCAAAGTTAGTGTCTCAGAGCTGTGTGGGGAGATTGGAGTCTGCCAAGCTTTGGTTTGCTTACCCGAATCAACTTATCCTCGGCACCGGTGGCCAGGTATCGGCCATCGGGGCTGAAGCAGACGCTTCGAATGTAGAGATCGGCAGCCATGTCGGTGGCGCTGTGGTCCTCCAAGACGCAAACCTTTTCGCCAGTCTGGACATCGAAAATCTGGGCCGACTTGTTACATCCAGTGGCGACGTACTTGCCGTCGTGGCTGAAGCGGACGCAGCACACGACACTCTCGTGGGTCAGGGAGTGGACGAGGTCAACGTCCAGGACGCGCTGGACCTGCGGGTTGAAAATGGCATACCAGTCGTTGCCCGTCTTCTTATTGTGGGGAGCAACGGCATCGACCTCGAGATCGCCCAGAGCATTGCTAATGGGAGGGGGAGGGGCTCGAGGGTTCATGCGAGCGTGGTCGGGGGTCGGGTGGCTCACTTGCGGGGACTGAGCATTGCCGGGATACGGCACGGGGGTGTTGATCTGGGGGGTAGCAGGCCCGACGGCACCCGGAGGACGGGCCATGGCTCGCCGGCCCGGACCAGGCGAGGCCGTGCTTGGCGGAGGCTGAGGCATGGTGTTGGGGGGGTAGGCCTGGTACGGCGGCTGCTGCTGAGGCTGCTGCTGTTGTTGTTGCTGCTGCTGCTGCTGCTGTGCGCTAGGGTGAGGAGGGGCGACGGGCAGTCCTGGAGGACCTTGAGCCATCTGGTGATGGTGAGGGCCCATCTGCTGCTCCTGAGGAGGAGCCTGAGGCTGAGGCGGCGCAAGACCTCCGGGGTTGCTGCCGGCCATGATTCCACTAAAGAGGCCATTCCCGGGCGCTATCGAGGGAGGCTGCTGAGACGGGCCGGCGTGCTGAGGAGGTCCCTGGAGGCCGGACTGCGGAGCTCCCTTGCGAGCAACCTCGAGCTGATGTCGCAGCATGTTGATTTCTTCCTCATACCTGTAGGGGAAGGCAGATACGGTTAGCGCTGCATGAGAGACGTGTGCCCATGTAGAAGGTTTGCTTACTTTTGCTTGAGCGTCATGTGGGTTTGCTCCATGGCATAGACCTTTTCTCGCACCAGCTGCATTTCGCTGACCTGCGCCGAGACTAAATTCACCTTGTTAGCCCAGAATTCCATTGCTTGGCAACCTTGATCGTTTTCTTCTTTCTGTTTTTCTCCCTTCTTTTTCTCGCTCTCCATCTTTCTCTTCCTTTGTTTTTCATTTGTAGTTTCAAGGTTCCACCTTGTCACAGCGCACGGGAGGCGGCGGGGGAGGGAAGTTTATAGTTGCGAGGGAAGCGTACTCTGATGCTCAAAGTTTTCACTCTGACGCTGCTGGCTATCGAATTCGGCCCTGATTTGCTCCAGCAGCTCGTTGAGGCGAGCGTTGCCGGGGGGCACAGCGCCCATGCCGCGATGGGAATACATGGACATGATTGATCGAGGCGGGCTGAGTGACTGAAATAGGAGGCAGGGCGACGGCGCGCGGCGCGACAATCGATCGGATCGGAAGGTGATGCAGGAGGCAATGTCAAGCGGTTCCTGAGGCCAGCTGTCGCCTCGATCCGGAGATCAGCAGGCGGGATTGCCGGAGTGCCGAGTTTGTCAACGAGGCTCTATCGAAGCCCGCGAATCGAAACACCCTCCAAAAATATGATGATGTTCAAAAAAAATTCTAGCTTCGACCGGCCGAGGCTGAACGGCAGAGGCGATGATGAGACGGGCGGGCGGTGGGAAGGAAAAGCTCGTGGCCAGGGCTTGGGATCGCGCGTCCACGGAGCAACGGGACGTGATTCGAAGGCGTGGGAGGTTTGTCCAAGGAGAAGAAAGAGAAAAAGGTGAGAGGAGGAACTTTGGAGGTACAGCGTCGCGGCTGGGGGAATAAGGTAACTCGGTGGAGCACTTGAAGCGAGCAGGCTTCTCGTCTCGGGGCTCGTAGCCTGACCACAGGCAGCTGGGGGGGGCTTTTTCCAAGGGGGGCGCCTCGTTGTACATGCAGCCCAAGTCCAGACGACCGCGGCATGTACCTGGCGGTACTTGGGGCACGGGCCACTGCACGCGCGAATCCACGCATCCACGGGGAGGGGACTCTTGGGGGGCTCCAGCACCCACATGTACAGGCGACAGGGGCTGCATGTACTCCCGCTAGCCGGGCCCCAAAGTGTCTGGCACAGCCGGGCAGGGGCGTGGGAGGTGGGAGGTGGGAAGTAGGAAGCTCGGGCCATTTCTGCCCTTGGGATTGGGTTCTGGTGTCTTCTTTTTTCTCTTGGGGGCGTGCTTGTTCTTTTTAGGGGTGTGCAGTAGCGCGGGCTGGCATGGGATGGGGCATGGCATCAACGAGTTGTCGCGGTGCTACGAGAAGAGAACTCGTACCGGACGCTGGATGCTGGATGGGGACTAAATGAGCGGGTAGCACAGGTGGTTACCGTTGCCGTGCAGTCTACGGAGTACCTGGATGTAAATACTACTAGGCCATGTACTCATACACCTCTTCTTCACCTGGGGTCACACAACGGGCAGAAGAGCGCAAGTGAGTCTGTTACACGGCAATGGACCAGAGCAGACCAGAGCAGGATAGAGCAGACCAGAGCACGCCATGCACATGCACACACATGCACGGGGTGGCTCATAGTAGGTGGACTATATGCCACAACCTACCTACTACAGGTAGTAGTGCTATGTAGGTAAGGTGAGATAAACTCCATGACTTAACCTGCCATGTACCTTGAATAATGGGGGTTGAGAAACAAGATTGATGCTTTTCGGGGAGATGTTTTGAGTTTTGCTGTCTGTTCCGGTGAGGCGGCGCGCTCATTCAAGCCAAAACAGCAAAGAGGCGTATCTACCTACATATACTCGTAGCCCTCTCATCGACCATCGTCATCTGTATCTGCTGGTCATCACACATACAGCCAGTCCCCCCGTCCAGTATTCCGTCCTTCCGTAATCAAAGCTCCGCAACCCGCATGTACCTGTAAGCGCCTTTCAGCCCCCCTTCAAGCGCGCCCCCCCTCGGTCTCCTCTCTGCGTACCCTCATCCTGGCTTCCCAATCCGCCGCCCGTTCCCCAGCAGCAGGGCCGGTGCAGAGGCCCAGCCCGGCACGGTGGGGCACCAGCTTAGCCCTGATGGGCATCTGCACGGCGAGTGTTCACGTCGCGGCCTCTGCCTTCTCTCTGCTCTGCCTGGGACTGGCTTACTAAGGGGCAAAAACACTGTGCAACCCGTCCGTCGAATGCCCACATCGTGCTAACACCAACTGCTGCTGGTTCCGTCACAAAACCGCAGGGATGCAAGAAGTGGGCTGCAGCCTGTGGGGCCCGGCACCACCAACGGGGCCCACCCGGTCCCAGCGCTGACAAGGGGCTGTTGGAGCGGGTCTCAGTCTCGCAAAGCCCAACACCAGCCAACACCAGCCACACCCAGCCCAGCCAAGTCTGTTCCCCATGATATCCATCGCCCAAGTGCTTGTGCTCGTACTACCGTGCCTGGCTCTGCACTGCACCCACTTGCGGCTTAGGGCCCTGTCCTGTCCTTTCGTCCTCCTTTGTCGATTCAACTGCGCTGTGGGTGGTTTTTGTTTGTGAATATTTGTACGACACACACGCATGTACGCACGCACGCACGCACGCACGAAGCACATCGAGGCCTAACCCGGTATCCGAACATGGAGGCGCCATGTGCACTATCCGAACTCGAAATTCATTTATTCATTCCTTTCCCTTGAGTCTAAGTCACTTATTATTAGCATAAAGTGTCCGACCGTTTGTCGACTCTATCCTCAGAGGTGAGTCAAGGACGGTTGAATCAGACAGAGATAGGTTGACCCTTGCCCCTGAAAAAGAGAAGCTGGGCTAAGCCGAGCTGAACTCGGCATCAAACAAAGTGCCGCCAGAAACAGAGTTGCAATCTAGTCTCCTTGCCCTCCCTCTATTTTTTTCTCTTCACTTCTTTTTTATTTCTTTTTCCCCTCTCTCTTCCCCCATATCAGTCGTTTAGATTGGCCGTTTGCATGCAGACGTTGCCGCTTCCTCTTATTTGTCACCCGCGCGGCACATGTGTCTCGCAACCTCTCCCCCGGTCAGCCACATGAGGCTGAGGACCGCCGATGGAAAGATGTCTTGGCAGCCTCGTTTGCCTGCTTCTAGATCTTGTGTGTGTGTCTGGCCGGATACGTACTCCGTAATTCCAACCCAGCAACTGCTAACATCCATCCTCTTTTTCCATCCCCCGCTTTTCCTTTTTCCATTGCCATCCCCATTTGCCTCTTCCCGCCCCCTTGCTACCTTACCTTAGTAGGCACTCAAATACCACCCATGCTTTCGTGTACCGTATTTCCTATCTGTGAGATGATGCTTGATTTTCTCCGTGGCAGCCACACCCAACATGTGCGTGTCTTAATCTAGTCCCCTGGGCGGGATTGGCCATCTGCGGCTTACTGGAGGTGGTGCCCAGCGATCCTACCATGTAACAGGTGTCAGGTTGTATGCACGCATGTCTTGGAAAGCTCTTTTCACGGGCCGCCATCGGGCTCATGGCACATACGATACACATACCTACCTGTACCCAGTACGGAGTGAGGTAGTGCTTTTTCGATCATGGCTTGTGCTTTGGGAGTGCTTGTCCAGGGTATAATTAGAGGCGGGATGAAGTCTGCTTTGGGGCTGTCTAGCGGGTAGCGTCAAACAGGCCCGGCATCAGACGCGTTTGTTTAGTTTGAAGCCATCAATATGTGTAAACTCCGACGTGGAGTATGCAGAAGTACTCGTAGCAGCGGCTGGAATCATCCGTCTACTGGTACTCCGTAGTGTCCGCCTAAAGAAACATCACCACGTTGTCTTCATCGGACAAAAGCACTCATGGGACCTTCTATGCTCTAGTGAGATAGATACATGCATGTACTCGAAGTCTGGTGTGCCATGGTGCTGTGTGGTTGCACACCTCATGTCCTGCGTGACCGCCATGACGTGGGTATCGGAAACAACTCCCTTTTGCAATAGTAAACGCCACAAACTTGTGCGAGCATCGCGATCCGCAAGTGGAAATGCGCTCGTTGAGATCGAGAGGCCTCGTGCTGGACCTGCCCCATCCACTTACCCTACAAAGAATCAACTCGAACTCGATTGAAATCCAACTCCGGTTTCGAGCAGGTGCTTTTATGTACTGCACACAGTACCATAGACAGCGTAACTACGAAATTGCACTCAGATAACAAATGTTCAGTCACTGGTAACAAGTCAGTGTTACCGCAGTTGGATTGGCCAGAGCGGTCATTGTTTGTTTGTTTGTTGGATTGATATGCCTTCATGCGAAACATTTCGCTGCCGACGATACTCCGCCGCCCACACACTGCATTTCAAGCATCAATCTCAAACAAACCCCCTAGCACAGGCGCTATGTCACCCGGCAAACTTTCCCAAGAGTGCTCAAGGCTAGGGTCGGGTATCTACCCGCAATTAATCCCAGGCACGAAAAGCGAAAGAATGGAGTGCTAAGCTGGATTGACACCTGTGCTCGTACATAAGCTGCCCTTGGCCAACATGCCGGGCTCATGCCGAACCCACCGCGAAGGAGATGCTGTCAGTATAAGTTGGACCCGGACGTTCGGCAACCGTCAAAGATGTGGAGAGGGATGGATGCCATGCCGTTGATGGAGACTGCGTGATTAATGACAATGTCAATATGCTTTCATGCCCGAACTGCTGCCTGCTCCACGCCATCATTGGCGTGATATGTCAAAGAGACGGGGATGGGCACAGTTGTCAAAATAAAAGGTATCATCATGACAAAGAGGTTATTGTGGGAGGCACGTCTTTCAAAACAACGATACCGGCAGATTCCGATGCTTTGGATATGTATGTGAATTGAGAGGGAGAAGAAAGAAGCATAGCAATCTACCGTGTTTCCCCATCAAGGGGTCCGGGTGTCATGGCGTTTGCGCCGTGCGATTCTGCAACCCTACCTGCTTACTACAGTATTCACCCGATCTAGACAAAGACAGATACCTACTACAGGTATAGCGACAGCGTGATAGAGGTGGTGCTTGTGGCCTATTTGGTTGTTAGTGGGATGTGATGCATATAGAAAACGACGCTTAGTATGTAAGGTAATGTTGTGTGTGCGCTGATGTGGTCTAACCAGGTGAAGAGTGTTTGAACGCCTTGAGACGAGGAGACTCGATGGAGATCAGGTTGTCCAGCCGAGTTGAGAAACAGTAATGCGTGCTCAGATTGATTGCTATTACTCGACGAAGGAATAAGGTAATATATGTTGACAACCGAGAGGGGCCTAACAAAAGGCCGTTAATACTGACTGTATCAGTTAGGCTGTGATATACGACACTGTAGTAGCGGTCAGAGCGCCAGTGTGAGTGGGAATGGCAAGTTGATAGTACGGAGTATTGGCAGGATAAAACCGAAGCTGCCCTCATTGTCGACAGCGAAATGGCCTCTGATTTGCCTGCCCAATCCGAAGCGACGGAGAAAGAGAGCAGGATTTGGATTTGTGGATATTCGCCGCAGAAGAATGCCGCAAGGATGGAGATTGAAGTTCTCGAAGTCGTGTTCGTGTTCTTTATCGATACGAATGCGATCGCCGGGCCCCGTAACGGATGCGGCTTACTTAAGGCAAACCCGCCTATCGACATCGCGTCTCAGGCACCATCCGTTATATCAGCACATTTCAGTCTCCTCTCTGGCCACTCGGCTCCGCTCGGCGGTCCAATTTGATGCGCTGGACTCGGAGAGCCGTAGATGTTCGGACATTTCTATGGTGTGAATCAGACCACCTATTGGCGCCGGGACGTTGCAGCTCCGGGAAAGGGGGGAGAAGTTTGATGAGGAGAGAGCGTGAATATGGCAGTGTGAGTGTGTGAGAGGGAAGATACGGAACCGCGTAGAGATGCACCTCATTTTGCGATATACGGGGCCAGCTATATAAGAACCAGCCTGGCAACGGGGCTCTATTTGTTTGCCATTACATTGCATTGGAAACCAGATTGAAAACACTGGCTGGTTCCTTTTGCCTCCTCGATCTCTGCTCTACTCTATTCACAACTCTCCAATTGAGGTCACCACTACAACAGCAGCTCATCTCCATGACGACAAGTGGCGACCCTCGACAATCGAAACTTATCTGATCGATCCCTCCCCCCTACTCCTACTAACCTTCTCACTTAATTCCACGTTTGCGCCGAAGCTCAATCGGGATCCGCGTTGCACCCCTGAACTTGCGCCCCAGTTTTTATTTTTTTTCCCTCTCGTCTATCCCATCCTCCCCCAGACCGTCGCCTGTCTAGGCTCAGTATTTAAATTGGCCCTGCTGCCGCGACTCGACCGGGCTGCCCGCCAACTCCGAATCTGCGACAACACTCGCTCTTGAGTTTTGAGTTGCTAGCACTTCGGTTTCGGTTTCTGCTTTGCCTATCATGGATGTCGTGCTCGAGCTCACCGACACCTTCATCGCCGACCACGCCTACGCCTGGCTGTTCCCTCTGCAGCCCGCGCCGTACGACTTCCCCAAGGCCACGGCGGCCAATGCTTCAGCGGCCTATTCATCATGGACTTACAAGCCCGCGACCAAGTACTTCCAGGTCCAGCCGTATCCCGCTGCGTACCTGAGCTCTCTTCCCCGAGATAATGTTTGGCGCCAGGCCGTTACGCTCTTCCTCATTACATGGTACGTGCCTCTGCTCTGCCTCTGCTCTGCTCTGGATCTCGACTTAAGAACGCGGTCGCCAGATTGCAGCTCCGCGCCCCTTTCAACACACATACATACAGCTCCTTCTTGGTGACGGACAGTCTGGCTAACACGTTCGCGACTCTAGGATCTTTGGTCTTATTGTCTACTTCATTTTCGCTACCCTGTCCTACGTCTTCATCTTTGACAAGCGCACCATGAACCACCCCAAGTACATCAAGAACCAGATCTGGCTGGAAATCGTCCAGACCAACAAGTCGATGCCCTTCATGTCTCTCCTCACCGCGCCGCTCTTCCTGCTCGAGGTCCGCGGCTTCGGCAAGCTCTACGACATCACCTCCGAGGGACCTGGCTTGTGGTACAACATCCTCCAATTCCCCCTCTTCCTCGTCTTCACCGATTTCTGGATCTACTGGATTCACCGATACCTGCACCACCCTTGGGTCTACAAGTACCTGCACAAGCCTCACCACAAGTGGATCATGCCCACGCCCTTTGCCAGCCATGCCTTCCACCCCGTCGACGGCTTCATGCAGTCCATTCCTTACCACGTCTTCCCCTTCATCTTCCCGCTGCAGAAGATGGCCTACGTCTTCCTCTTCGTCTTTGTCAACTTCTGGACCATTATGATCCACGACGGCGAGTACCTCACCAACAACCCGGTCGTCAACGGTGCTGCTTGCCATTCGCTGCACCACTCTCGATTCGAGGTCAACTACGGCCAGTTCTTCACTGCCTTTGACCGCATGGGCGGTACCTACAAGATGCCCGAGGCCTGGATGTTCGAGAAGGAGGTCAAGATGTCCGAGAAGAAGTGGAAGGACGAGTCAAAGGAGGTCGATGCCACTGTCAAGGAGGTCGAAGGTTCCGACGACCGGACCTACGTCCCTGACCTGGCGACCAAGAAGAACAAATAAGTGCGCGCACATATTTTCTCGCACAACAAGCCTTCTTTGCGACGTTTTTACGACCATGAAAAGTCCCATCCCCTCTGGCGCGAACGTTGAAAGTCGCGCTACGGCGAGGTGCCTGATTGGTGCCAAATATTTTGTATAATCTGCCGCCACATGTTTTATTCTTACCTGCTGTGTACATAGTTTTCAAAATTCTAATTGGGTGGATAATGAGAGGGAATCCCATGGCAATCATGCGGCTTCACTATCGGGTTATTGTCAGGTATTTGGGTGGCAGAGGCGTTTAGAGGACATGGGATCACGAAAAAAATGTCTGTTGAATGATAAAGATATAGTATATTTTCATTTGATTACTGATATCAAATGCACCGGTGTCTATAGCCCGGCGATGTAATAATAATAAGGCATTTTCCCCAAACTCCAGCTCGGACAAAAGAATGAAGAACAAAAAATCCAAGTGACGCTCGTCTTGAGGAGTTGGCCGTATATTGCATACACCCACTGATTGATTTTCTGACCACCAGAATTTCTGCCTGATAAGATGACAAAGGAACAAGAGAATAAAATGAATTTGAAAGAGGACAATGAATGGATACGTGTGCGGCCAAGCGCGACAAGCAAAAAAAGATAAAGAGAAAGAAACGAAAGAGGACCAAAATAAAAAGAAGAATAAAGATAAAAAGAGAAAAAGAGAAAAAAAGAAAAGAAAAGGCTCCGCGAAAAGATGCTCCAAATGGCGAATAAGGATATTTGTTTAATAAAAGATTTGAGACTCCAGACAACGCAGCGCTGTACAGAGTAATCGCTCAACGCTTCATGAGAAGCTGACAAATTTGGGGTCTCTAGGTCGTCCGTCGGCTCCAATTCCGTTGGCCTTGAACTTGTTCTCCATGTAGACCTTGCGCGCCTGGTCAAACGGCAGGCGCCTCTTCTTCATGATCTTGAGGATCTCGGCCTTGCTCTCGTCGTCCAGGCCGGCGCGGCCGTCGCCATCCTCGACGTTGCCGCTGAGGTCAAAGGTGCTGCTGGAGAGGCCGGCCTCGATGTCGCCGGCGAAGGTGGAGGGCAGGCGGGAGTAGAGGTAGTCGGAGCCCGGGAGGCGGCGGAGCCAGCAGGATCGGGTGAGGAAGAGCGCTGTGGCGAGGACGACGAGGGAGATGCAGAGGGAGTAGAGGAGGTAGGCCATGGTGACGACGGAGATTCTTGGTGTTTTTTTCGGTTCAGTCGGAGAGGTTTTGTTGGTTGATTAAGGAGTGTTTGCAGAGAAGGAAACGAAAGAAAAGGAAAGCAGTATAGTGTCGAGTGTAGCGGGAGAGAGCCTTGAGATGCGGCGACTAGCAGATGAACCAGTTCATGGCTAGGCTGTTGCTCTGGTTGTTGGTGTTGGCTGTTGAAACGAGCCTCTTGTTGGAGGAATGATTGGGAAACGGAACGGATTTGGTGAGGCCTCAGCTGCCGTCTGACGTGTTGCATGGCGGCTTGCAGCGAGTGGCTGTGCGGGATCCATTCAAGCTCCCTGCTCGCCGCATGTGGGCGCTTTGGGGTGCCTGTCTTGCCTGTGAGATGAAATTGATGGCGCCACCAGCCACAAGAGAGCGCCCCACCGATTGGATAAGGAGCTGATAACGATGCTCTGGCTGCGCTAACCGCAATGCGGCAGCTAAGCGAGCCCACACTTTTTGCAGGCCGAGTGTGTTTCTTTACATCCAGCGAAAGACGAACGAACCTCGAAACGTCGCGAAACATCACAACAACTCGACAACCGACACAATGGCCGCTGCTACTCTGCCCAACATTTCCTCGGACCTGATCTGGGAGGTCGTCCGTGAGTTTTTTTACTTTCACCTACGGGCTCGTTTGATACAGGAAGAAACAAAGAGAGCTCGAGAAGACGACGTTCGATGAGGCTAAAATGATGAAATTGGATAGGAAGCAACAACAGCTACCTCCACAAGACTGGTGCTGCCTCAAACGGTGGTGTTCAGTTCTCCCGCGACCCCCTTAACCTGAAGAACGTCCACAGCCGAAAGGTACGAGATATCACTCCGATGGGAATAGACGAAAAGCACTAGAAGGGGGGCTAACTGTTTGGAATAGTACGCTGGTTTCGTCAACGAGAAGGTACGACACACTCCGATCGAGCACGGTCTTCGACTATAAACAAGGGAAAGGAATTACGTGGTTTACTAAAACATGTTGAATTGAACAGGCTGTCGGCATTGCCCCTGGCGAGAAGGGCGGCGTTGTTGTCACCAGCAAGAAGACTGCTGCTGCTCACCAGCCCAGCAAGTCTGCTGCCCAGACCTCCATCGGTGGCGGCAAGTCCACCCGCAAGTGAGTCTAAGTCTAGAGATTATACGATATCACTGGGAGGGGAATCTTTTGTTATATTGACACAAATACTGCTGTAGGACCTACAAGGCCGTTGCCGCCCAGGTTGCCAAGTCCGGCTACCGCGCTGACCTCCGCGCCGCTGCCATCGAGCGTGCCTCTGCCATCCGCCGATCCCAGCTCCCCGTCAAGGCTGACCCCGAGCCCAAGCTGAGGGGCAAGAAGGCCAAGGCTGCTGCCGCTGGCGAGTCCTAAATTTGGAAGAACGGGACGAGAATTGGAAAGGCTTTGGGGATGAGTTGGCTGGGCTGGGAGTAGGGGTCTGAAACGGCTTTTTCAACTGTACATTTGGCCTGGTTTTTTGTTAAAAAGGAAAAAGAGAAAAACCCTCCCTTTAGAGGTTCGTTGTTACAGGCCGGAGCTGCAGCTGGATCCCGAAACTGTCGAGACGAAGAAGAAACTTTTCTACTGTGGTTGCCGATGAGGTGCCGCTTTGAGGGTTCGCAGGGAAGAGAAACAATTCCAGTGGATTCTCGCACAATGGTTCCTTTATGATGAGTGTGATGTGAAATTGCATGTAGTGATTGATGTGTGGCTTGAGATGTATTTCCGGGGGTCGGAATTTGCTGGCTCTCTTTAGCTATGAAGTGAGTATCTCAAGGAATTACGATTAGGTGGTTATAATGCCATTGCATCGCCACTTGATTCCACAGCCCATGTCCTCCGAGTGCCGTCGGGAGAGAGCCAGCAGCATACCCGGCCTATGCTCCCGGAAAGAAGCCAAAGTCGGCAAATCAAACAACCAAAGTCGGCAACACTTATTAACGTTGTCAAATGCACAAGTAAACAATTATATAAGCATTACTGTAATCACAGACCGACAATTCAAAGTCATTCACGTCACGTCCAATTCCGATCTCACACGAGCTCGGCTACCTTACCTGTTGGCTCATCCGCTCCGGCCCGGCAGACCTCGGAATCAGCGGTGCTCTTCCGACTGCGTCCCCTTAAGCCGTGCACAATCACAAGCCTTCTCTTGTGTGTTTAATTCTCGGGACCTTGCAGCCCGGGTCGGAATGTGACGGGGGCCGCGGTTCATTTTCGAGATGCTGGACGATCTTTTTTCTTGGTTTCTTGCTGATGGTATTACTGGTATCGTAGCTGTTACCAATTCGGCGTTATAACAGATATACATGTGCATTGTAAGGCTGGCTTTGCTGCACCCCGATTGGCCGGCCCCCGTGTCATCGGCGCCGAAACAAGCAAAGCACAGCACAGGCATAACAGCTAGACTACCTGCGGTGATGCTAGCAAATACCATCCGTAGCAGCACGCCGTGCCTCCAAAGTAAAGTAAAAACGCATTGGCAATAGGCGGCCCCTCCCGACTGTCCATTTTACCCCTCCATTAGCCTTCCAGGTTCCCTGAGAGAGAGAAAAAAAGGCCGCCTGAAAGCAGCGAGTGGAGGCCGTTAAGGGAATATAGCGCGCCGAGTCCCTGCGGCGTGCAAGAGCCATCCCCAAGGGTACCTTCCTCCCCGTCTTACGCAATTCCCTCTTGCAAAAAGTATATCCATCCGCTCTCCATCTTCCTAACCTTTCTCTTTTTTATTTTCTCTCCAAGCTTTCATCTCTGAATATCTTCTTTTTTGAGCCATCTTCTTCTCCCCTTTTATTCCTCCCACATATTCCCTATAACCGCTACCATGGTCAAAGCAGGTATGGCTATTACTGTCCTAGAGGCGCGAGCACTGAAGTTGCCCCTCAACCCCGCACCACGGCGACGTGAAGCTGTCTGAAAGAGCTCGCGTCATTGAGGTGAAAATGGACTGCGGGCAAACGTGATACTGACGGTTTGTGCGATAGTTGTTGCTGGTGCCTCTGGAGGCATTGGACAGGTATGCATTCTTCTGCTCTGATTGCGATTGCGATCCATCTTTGCTTTCATCTAGCTAACAGCGCATCTTTTTGCGATATCCTACAGCCCCTGTCCCTCCTCCTCAAGGGCAGCCCTCTCATCGACGAGCTGGCTCTGTACGATGTTGTCAACACCCCTGGCGTTGCTGCCGACCTTTCTCACATCTCCTCCCCCGCGGTAAGCTCCCAGCTCCCAGCTCCCAGCTCCATCGTCCTCGTGGTCTCCCGACTCTCCGCATCGCCGACAGCCACCTTGCGAGCTTTCCCTTGACCCGACTTCCGCTGCAGCTCCAGCTCACTAACGCCGCTGTGTTTTTGATAGAAAGTGACTGGCTACCTGCCCGCCAATGACGGCGCAAAGGCCGCTTTCAAGGATGCCGACATCATCGTCATCCCCGCTGGCATTCCCCGTACGTGCTACAACTCATATGACTCCTACAAAAATCTAGCTGGGGCTGGCTCAAAGCCTCGGCATGTGATTTGAATCCCGAGTTGCCGCTGCTAACGCTGCAATTGCTCACAGGCAAGCCTGGCATGACCCGTGACGATCTCTTCAACATCAACGCCGGCATCGTCAAGGGCCTCATTGAGGTCATTGCTGATGTTGCCCCCAAGGCCTTCATCCTCGTCATCTCCAACCCCGTCAACTCCACCGTCCCCATTTCCGCCGAGGTCCTCAAGGCCAAGAAGGTCTTTGACCCCAAGCGCCTCTTTGGTGTCACCACTCTGGACGTTGTCCGTGCCGAGACTTTTGTTGCCGAGATTGTTGGCGAGTCCCAGCCCCAGAAGCTCACCATCCCCGTTGTTGGTGGCCACTCTGGCGAGACCATCCTGCCCCTCTTCAGCGCCGCCCAGCCCGCTGTCAACATCCCTGCCGACAAGTACGACGCTCTTGTCAACCGTGTGCAGTTTGGTGGTGACGAGGTCGTCAAGGCCAAGGATGGTGCTGGTTCCGCCACCCTCTCCATGGCATATGCTGGCTTCCGGTAAGATTTCAACCCGGCAATTGTTTTTATTCACTTTTTTATGAGACAGGCATTGACACAAATAAACTTAGATTCGCCGAGAAGCTGCTTCGTGCCGTCAAGGGCGAGCAGGGCCTCGTCGAGCCCAGCTACGTCTACCTGCCCGGCGTGCCCGGAGGTGAGGCTGTTGCCAAGGCTACTGGCGTCGACTTCTTCTCCGTCCCCGTCACTCTTGGAGTAAGTTTACACTTCCGTCCCATGCTTGACCCCCAAAAGATGTGTGTTGGCTAACTTTGAACCCAGCCCAATGGTGTGGAGAGCGTGTCCAACCCTCTTGAGAAGATCACCGAGAAGGAGAAGGAGCTCCTTGGCAAGGCTGTCGAGGGCCTCAAGGGCAACATTCAGAAGGGCGTCGACTTTGCCCACAACCCTCCCCAAAAGTAAATACTTTCCTCCTAAACATCCAACCTGTTGGTAGCTGTTCAAGTGTCGAGGGAGCCGGTCTTGAGGGACAATAGCTATGAATACTGGGTATAATGAATATATACGCGTGCATAAGCAGGGTGGCTGATGATTTGCTTTCTTTCATAGGCTGTAAACTGTCCCCAGAATCTCTATCCCCATGCGAAGCCCTTTTCCCTCGGGACAGCTTCTCACTCCACATTGATTAGTCCACTGCTAGTTGCTCTTGGCTGAGTTGGAAGATTATGCGGGAGAAGTATTGGACGGACTTGTCGTCGTCTATTTGCACATGGGGGTCAATCCATCTTTTCGCGCTCCATCTTTTTGGTAGATTCGAATCGGGCAAATATTGTCTCAATGCGGTTCGGTTATTATGGCTTGGCGGCGATGGTCTTGATTTGGAATATAGCTGCTGGTAGCTCGTTGACCTCGGCTTGGACGGTGGCGCTGATACCCAGGGCAGCCAGAGCGCCGCGAATGATGCCGCAGGGAAACCATAGGAACTGAGCAAATTCAAGTAAAGCAAGTTAGTTAACAACTCTCGTCTTATTCGAACCAATATTGGACCGTGCGACGAATGGATTAGAGGAGCGCTTGGTTGTGCTCTGTTGTGTTTGTTTGTGTGTTTGTGTGACGTACAGGCTGTGCGCGGAGGACGGCTTGGCTGCCGGTTTCTGTGCTCATGCGGGAGAATGGGCGGAAGGCGTTGTCGGTGAGGACGTAGACTCCCTAGATTTATGCGCGCGCGCGCGCGGTGTCAGTACAAGTTTTGAGTTTTTTTTTTTTTGATCCTGTGATGTGTGTGTTGTTTTGTTTGGGGGTTGTAAGTGTGTTGTGTGTGGGACAACGTACGCGGTGGTTCGTCTTGAGATTGTCAATGTTTTTGCCGAAGACGAGGGACCAGAGGTCTTTGCAGAGGAATTTGATGACGTCGAGGGTGTCGTTGAAGCGGGGGCGGTCGCGGGAGAATCTGAGGAAAGCTGAGTGTCAGCTTATGTGTCTCTATATTGTCGATTCGATTGAGAGACGGCGCAGGGGTAGTTTGTATGGGAGAAGAGCAAAGGAGGATTTAAGTTGCTGAGAGTAAGTACCTTTCTACAAGACCCTGACCGACGCGATACCCCTGCGACTCGAGTCTCAAGTGCACCGCATCGAGGTGTTCTTCGTCGTCTATCCTCTTTGGAGAATCGGCGACGGGCGGATGATGCGCAGCGGCAGCGGAATCGGATTTGCGATGATGCGAAGAGGATGTGACGCCGTCGGGGTTCTGAGTAGTAGCGGAAGAGGAGGAAGAAGGAAAGTCGCGCTGGGAGGTGACGCGCTGGGCGAGCGGGACGAGCTCGATGAGGAGGAAGTCGAGGGAGGAGGAGGAGAGGAAGGAGGCGGTTGGGTCGGTGGAGTTGAAGGGGGGCATTGGGGGGGAGAGGGACATTTTTGCTGTTTATTTGGAGAAAGAGAAGAGAAGAGAGTGGAAGAATGGAGGAGGAGGAGAAGAGGTGGGAGGGAGTTTGGGTGAGGGAGTTGGTGATGTTTGGAGGTTTGGTGGTGAGAGGTAAAGTTGCAGTGCAGTTGGTTTAATCGATTATGGTGCTGCGGTACAGGTACAGATGGGTTAGTACTGGGTTGGGGAAAGGGTGGTTTTGGGTGTGTGGGGTGGGATTGATGTCGTGGGGTGTAGAAGTAGATGTACCAATTACTGGGTGTTTTGGGGAGATGACATATAAGCTGCGTATGAGCATTCTTAATACGTGTGTATCAATGTGGGTTCGTTCTGATTAATGCGATTGACGTTGTTTTATAAGATAAGATACCTGATGGGGTGGAAGTTATTAGTACTGCTTGGTATAAGCCGTGAATGAATGAACACTACAGGCCGTATGATACACCACATGCACACTCAACAGCAAAGTATTCGTATCTAGTTTCGTAAATCAACCTCTAATCGGCAAATCGCCGTTAACTAATAATCTAATGTAGATAGTCATACAGCTTTACATGTTTCCTCCCCTTAATAATAGAAAAAAAAGCAGATAAAAACTGGCATTGTACCGACCCTAGGGGAATCATCCTTTTTGTCCCTCGTCACACCCTAAACGCCTCTGCTGACTTGATAAATCAAACTTCTCTCTCCTCTCCTCCTCTCCCCTTTCATCTCTCTACCATGTCCCATGGTATAATCATTTATATATTGGTTTCGCTTTATAGACAACACTCATCGCTTCCTCCAACGCTTCCGCTGGCGAGGCTCTGCCCGCTGACGTCTCGTACTCGCTGCTTCTAGACCACTCTCCTACGACGGATAGTTGCTGGGTGATTCGCTCAGGAACGGGAGGCTCGACGAGCCGCGATAGCTGCTTCCTCCCGTGTGTTGCCGTTTATGTGGCCGCTGGATGGGCTCTTCGTCGTCAGACGACAGCGTCAGGTCGATAACTGCTGGCGCTGGTCGTTTGGCGCTGTGTGAGCCGGTTCGCGGGGCCGAGTGACCGTCTCTACCACCAGAGCTCATCTCTGTGTAGGACGTCATATTTTTCTTGGGCGTTTCTATTCGACGGCCGGTAATGCTGATTTCGGATACCTCCAAATCGTCGTCGTCATCGTCGTCCTCAAGTGCTGCCCCATTTGGCCTGGATGATGATTCCTCCTTGGGTGGTTTGCTAGACCACCTGCCATTTGGCTCAATGGTCACGGTTTCCAGGCTCTTTGACGTCTTTTCCAGAATGGCCTTGACGTAGCTAGACACTGGTTAGCATGTGACAAGAGGATTGATGGAGCTGAATGATACGCACCCATCAACAGCTAGTTGGTCAAATGGCGCTGATTTGTTGCAGATAGGACACAGCCATTGTGGACCTTGCTCCTGAAGCTGCAAGTAAGATGTTGCGTCAAAGCATTGCAAATGTGTACAGCTCAAGCTGCGGCAAGGCACTTCTAATCTCATGTAGGATAGAGGGCATTTGAGGGATAGCACCTGAGATGTCGCTACAACATCTGGATCTTGTGCTATTTTATTCACTACCACGAGCACGTTAGTATGTGTCAGGAGACCACCTCGTCCGGGAAAGCCTTACGCTCAGATATCACCGATTCTTCAGAAATCTTTCTACGGTTGGATATTGTCGTGACCAATTCAGGAACTGAAGTGGTCTTGCAAAGGTTGACGATGAGGTAGAATTTCTGCCAAGAACAGAATAGTGTTAGCAGAAACCCTCAAGAAAGGGGGCATATGTGGAAAGCCCATCGAATCGCCCTCCATTTTCCAGAACCAGCAATTCAACTTACCCTGTTCGTCAGCGCATATGTAAACTCAATGTTGTTCATGTAATTTCCCCTTAGGCGGAGAGCGTTGGTTATGTCGACTGGCCTCGTTGAGCCGGGCTTGTTCTTGAGACCTCGGAGGTTGGCCTTGATCTCGTCGCCATTTACCCGAAGCTCGGACTGGTGTGGGAACGCAACGTCTTGTACGCCGCTGTCGTCGCTAGCACAAAACACCATGATTCTGTATGATTTGTCCTCGTTGCATCGCTGCAAAACGGGGTGGTCGCTTAACCTCAATGGGATGGTGACAGAGTTCCTATGCTGTGCCATGGCTGGAGATGAATGCCACCGGTTAGCCGGGATTACAATAGTAGGGAACCAGAAAATTAGGGATTCTTGCCTTCACAGGTGCGCAACACGCTCACAGCGCTTTCAACGTAATAGAAAGGGCTTGGCTTGAACGAGAAACTATACGTTCCATACGAAGATGCCGGAACTCCATTTGCCGAGACTTGTCCATATGCCCGTTGTCCAGAATAACTACTGGTGCCGTAGGATGACGACGATGACGCGGATGTAGGCAGAGCAGGTTGTGCTGTAGACCCGTTGCTTCTAGCCGTCGCGGCCTTGGCAGGACTCGCTCGCTCTTGAAAGGCCCTGAGGATGCTGTGGCGGATCTGATGGAATCGTACGACATCGTTGCTGGTAACCGTTTCGTTTATCACTGTGGGATGGATACAGAGGTTAGCACATATGCAAGGATTGAGATGTGGCCCGAGGCTGTGACCGCAGAGATGGGCCAAGGAGCACGCGAACAGTGTCGCGATCAGGGCGATGCAGAAGAGAGGGGAGACCTACGTTGTACGATGCGTCGCTGAAGCTCAGCTTTGACGCCGGTGCTCTTGAGCCCATTTACTTGGCAGATGGATGAGAGTTGTCTATTGAACAGAGAGTTGCCCTGGACCTGCCTAAGCAGCGCGTTCACGTCATGCCGCGAAATCGACGTCATGTTGGGCGATGCCATGGTTGCGTGATGGCGCGAATCGTAGGTCGAGGGATGAATATGGTTGCAAATGCATCAACGGGTGCGGACAAGTCGGGGGTCGAAGTCGAGAGGAGAGAAGAATTGGGCTGAGATGGGAGAGCGTGAAGCGATGCGGACGTCGTCTCTATCGGAATGCGGTCGAATCACCCTATAATCTGGGGACAAAGGACGATGACAAAGGACCAAAGATTGATTGGAAAATAGAGTCGCAAAGCAGAGAAGAGCGGATTCTAGCCGCTGGACGGCGCAGGCGGTCGCTGTGAGGCCAGCTGCGATGCCGGCAGATGCCGCGATGGGGAGCCTGACTGCAGTTTCGCGGGCGATGCAAGGCAAGGCGATGCAAGGCAGAGGGAGTTGGATTTATATCGGCGGGTGCCGTGACTGCGATGGATTGGACTGGATCGGGTTTGGCAGAACGCGCAGGTGATGCAGCGGCGTCCTTCACATTCACTCTCTCCTCACCCTCGTCGTCCTCGCCATCAGCCTCGGTCGCTTTTTGCAAGCATGGACATGGTGCTAAGATAATGATTGATAACTCGACGCTATCGCCACAAGACTTTTGGGCATTGGGCAGGCGGCGGCAGCTGGCAGAACCGAGTGCCTTTGCTGTGAAAATGAGACGCGAAAAAAGATCGCCGGCGCATCAGCCACAGTTTGTGCCGATACGCCACATCTGCGCTTTATCTTATCTTTTCCCGCCGTTATCGTAACTTTTCTCTCTTCTCTGTCGAAGACGAAGACAAGCAACCATACACCAAACGACGTATTAATAGACGGACAGAGTCCAGCAATACCGCAATCATGGCCAAAAGTTCTCGATCAAGCAGCAAGAAATTCAACAACCAGCGCAAGGCCGCTTCCATCTTCGGCCCGGCAGAGACTGCAAGACAAGAGCGTCTCTCGGCCAAGCTGCTGGAGTTGGCAAAGCAGGCCAAGCCCGAACCCGCAGAGATGAAGATTGATGGTATGCTTTCGACCAGATGCGCTCTATTCTACACTTTTGATTCTCTAACATTGCTTGGCAATAGATGGCGACAATGCGCCCGAAAAGGAAGAGCAGGCCGGCGCAGACGAGAACTGTATGTCCCACCTCTCCTCTCTCCTCTCTCCTCTGTGCCCCCAGATCGACCCGACGCTTGCTAACATGTTGTGAAACGCAGCCATGGACGTCGACTCAAAGAAGCCAAACAGACCCTTCAGCGCCAAGAAGGGCATCAACAAGAAGAGGAAGAAGTCGAGCATTGTGTTCCCCAAGTACAGCGACAGACTGAGGAAGACTGCTCGAAATGCACCAAAGAAGGCGTAACTGATTGATTTTTAATTCTGGTTTCAATTTTCTTTTGCTTCTGTTTCTTTAATCGTTTATACGGAGTACTCATTATACATATTGTCCTACATATCAGCTCTGCAGTCTCAATTGACGATACCCATGACAATCTCCAAAAAAAAAAAAAAAGTTCAGATTTGATGGCGCGCCCTGATTTCCTGTGGCGCAGCATCCTCTCACTGTAGATTCTCCCTTGGCCAATCATTCTTCCACTCCCACTGGCTTCGTTTTAGAGCTTCCTCTAACACTTGGTGAAAGGGAGACTCAATTTCTCATTTATACGCGCCTCTCCATATGGCTTTCACTGTGCATAATCTTAATGGAACACTGACCCAAGTCAAGGCGCCTCTCTAGCCACTTTCTGTCGTTGATTGACTCTCTTTTAATAACAACATGGTGGCCTCAAGAAATGGGTCGCTTGCAAGCTCACTGCTGCTCGCTGCGGCCAACCTTCTAATTCCGCTTTCTATCCTCGTTTTTGCCACTGGTTTTTTCCCGTATAAACCTTTTCTTCCTGGTTTGGCCGAATTTGAGCCTCTCGAATATGGACCTCCGCCCAAGGCTCCCTTTGATAGACTCGTATTCATGGTGGTTGATGCGCTGCGGAGGTATAGTTGAAACTCATCCATCTGGACGCGCCGTCACTTATACTGAGATGCGATGATAGCGATTTTGTATTTTCGGAGGAATCTGGATTTGAATACACTCAGCGGTTAGTTCTGTACGCTCACAACTGTTGGCCTCAGTCTCTCATAGTTCCAATAGCCTCATTCGAGATGGCAGTGCCGTCCCCTTTACAGCAAATGCTCGATCACCCACGGTGACAATGCCTAGAATCAAGGCCATCACCACTGGGTCGATTCCTTCTTTTGTTGACCTTATTCTCAATTTTGATGAGGCTGACACTTCTTCCACATTGGCCGCCCAGGATACGTGGCTGTCTCAGCTCAAGGCCAAAGACACTGGCAAGCTTCTCATGTACGGTGACGATACGTGGCTCAAACTGTTTCCTGAGACGTTTGATCGCCACGACGGAACCTCTAGCTTTTTTGTCGCAGTAAGGCTTCGCACGTATGTTCTGATTGATGATTCCCTTGGCTTACATGTACCTCAAGGACTTTACGGAGGTGGACAATAATGTGACGAGACACATCAACGATGAACTTGAGAAGGATGATTGGAGCTTGATGGTTCTACACTATCTTGGCCTGGATCATATTGGCCACAAATCGGGACCCCGAAGCACGCACATGCCTGGTAAGCAGCGCGAGATGGATGGCATCATTCACCAGCTGTTCAACGCCCTCGAAACCAAGAGCCACCTTCAGTCGACGCTGCTCGTTCTCTGCGGCGATCACGGCATGAACGACGCAGGCAACCACGGAGCATCATCTCCTGGAGAAACATCGCCCGCTTTAGTCTTTCTGGCGCCGAAGCTCAGGGAAATATCGTCCAGGTATCCGGCCCCTGCGCAACCCAAGAACGAGTACGACTACTATTCCATGGTTGAGCAGTCCGACATCTCACCGACTCTTGCCGCGCTCCTGGGCTTTCCCATCTCTAAGAATAACCTTGGAGCATTTATCCCGGAGTTTTTACCCTTTTGGCCGAGCTCGAGCGATAAGGTGCAGATTCTCATTCGCAACGCGAGACAGATCCTCAACATTGTCACGGCGGCGTTTGGAGGCGAACTCTTTGATCTCCAGGCTTCTGTCGACCCGTGCGTGTCCATATCTTCGGATGTTGATGAACTGGCCTGCGAGTGGCGCAGGATCAATTCACAGGCCGCTTCGCAGGCTGGTGCCAAGGAGGTCGACCAGGCGTGGCTCTCAGCTACCTCTGCTTGGATTCGCAGGGCTCAGGATCTGATGAGCAGTATGGCGTCCAACTACGATATGTCGAGACTGTCGCTCGGCCAGGGACTGTCGGTTGCTGCCGTGATTGCCAGTGTTGCAAGTCTGGGCCTGCAAGGGTTCTGTCAGGCGGGATTTTTGATGCCGTTGTTTCTGCTTGCAACGTCGTATGGGCCCATGATGTTTGCTAGTAGCTATGTAGAAGAGGAGCACCATTTCTGGTACTGGACGTCTACTATCTGGCTGGCATATCTCGGTGTTAAGGAGGTTCAAAGGTAGCCCGATCATATCATTGCTTCTGTCGTTCATGGTTGTACTGACTATCCTCAGATGTTCACGTCTCTCTTCGATATCAAACCACGTACTAGCCTTGGCTGCACTAAGACTCATTCGAAGCTGGAACCAGACGGGCCAGAAATTCGCCGGTGAATCAGACACTGTCAAGAGATTCCTCATTCCCAACCCTGAAATTCTTTGGGCGCTCATCACCTTGGCGTATGTCGTGGTGACGTTCCAGACTCTGCAGAGCTTATCTGGTCTGCCGTATATCCTGGCTACTTCTCTTATGCCAGCTGTCTTCTTGGCAACCTTCACTTTCAAACTCGCTTTTACTGCGGAAGATGCACCTGAGTTGGTTGTAGGATTTGCTCATGACCTCCTGGACATCTTTCAAGGCCCATCCCTCATCTTCAGAGCAAGGATCATCTTTGGACTGCTCGCAGTGTTATCCGGATTCGCCATCTATCGAGCAAAAACCGGAGGCCCTCGAGCCTCTCAATCGTCCGGTAAGTCTACAATCATTACATCAACCCTCTTCCATAGCTCTTCAACACTTCTAACTAACACATCAACCAAATATCAGTCGAACTAGTCCACCATCTATGCACCCTCCTCGCAATGACCCAATCCCGCGCCACAAACATCCCCCTCTTCCTCCTCTCCAGCATCATCCTCCAAACCCTCCAATCAACCACCCTCTCCATCGCCGAAATCACCGCAACCTCCATCGTCCTCCAATACACAACCTTCTTCGCCTTTGGCGGCTCCAACGCAATCTCCTCCGTGGACCTCTCCAGCGCGTACAACGGCATCAGCGGCTTCAACGTCTTCGCCGTCGGCGCGCTCACCCTCATCAGTAACTGGGCGGGGCCTATATTCTGGACTTCGGCGACGAATATGCTGCTTCTGCAGAAATATAGAGAGGGGAAGACGGATGCGTTTAAGAATCATGTCATTTTGTTGACGATTTTCGTGTCGATGAGTGTGGCGTTTGTGATTGCGGCGTGTACGGCGCTGAGAACGCATTTGTTTATCTGGACGGTGTTTTCGCCAAAGTATTTGTATTGCATGGCGTGGAGCCTGGGGCAGCATTTGTTGATTAATGTTGGCTTTGGGAGCTTTTTGTTCTGGGTGGGTACTTGAGTTGGTATAGAAGATATAAGGCTCTCGACACTTGGTTTTCAGAATAAGAGTTCATATTCCAGACACTCATCTAGACCTGCTACATATTTTAGTATAATAGAAAAAGAAGACGATTGCGTTATTTTAAATCATAAAGCTACGTAGCCAATAACTGTATCGTTTCCCCTGAGTCACTCCCATCTAAACCAATTTGCTTATATACCTATATTTCATGACACATTAAACACTCTTGAGGTTTCCTCACGCATCCTCCATCTTGGTATCTTCATCTGACAACAGGTCTTCCACAAGCTCATCCCTGCTCGGGTTCTCCGGCACGACAGTGCCTTCGTCACTATTCCCATCGCTGTCATCCTCGACTTTAATCCTTTTGTTGCCATTGCCATTGTCGTTGTCGTTGTCATTGTCATTGTCATTGTCATTGTCATTGTCGTTATCGTTTTCCTCTTCCAGATTCGATGCGACGGACTTTTCGCGCGATTGTCGATCTACGGTGACCGATACGCTGCGGCTGGTACGACTTTGCGCTGGGCGCTGTTCATCCAGACTGTTGACAATCTTGCCCAGGCTGACGTGGATCTTGTACAGCGCGTTGCGGCCGGTAGTGTCGGTGACGAGACCCTCCTCGACGGCTTCAGAAATAGTCTCGTAGGTTTCTCGGAGCTTCTCTTCGGTGGAGTTGGGTGATACGTAGAGTTTTCCGAGAAGGCCAGCAACCAGCTTCTTTTCGGCTTCTATCAACTTTGTTAGCCAAGGTTCTTTGAATATTGATATGTAGGGGGGCCGTTTTGCGGTCAAACTTACTGCTAATGCTTGCACGAAGCCTTTCTAGAATATCGCAGGCAAAGTCAAGATGTACATCGCCATTGACACCCTTCTTCTCCCCGTCAAGAAGGATTTCTGGGCTGTAGCATTTCCGCGGGTCGGTCCAGTCCGCCAAACAAGCACCAATGGTCGTCATGCTAACCATGTCCTCCTCAACATCGACATCGTCATCCTCCAGACCCTCACGTAAATTGAGCAGAGAATGCAGGGCTACCAGAGAAACCTTTCTCATGAGATTCTGATTCTCTAGACGAGAGAAGCAGAATACTGGCAAGAAATAGTTGAGGGCTTGTCTAACTGTCTGGTTGGTAGAGGACGCGGGATCAAAGTAGGCAATCACTAGGGACTTTAGCAGCTCTTCGCAAACCTCTTCGTCAGAAATGACGCGGCCTAGGAGCAGTTTGGATGCTGCTATAGTAGCTGCGGCTTGCACCTCGGATGACCTGCCACCACCCTTGACTGCCTTGACGTATACCTTGATAACAGCTGGAGTCGAGTCCAGCAGCTGAGATCCATGGACGTTCAAGATGTCCGTCAAGATATGTAGGGCAGTGATCTGCAAGGCTGTGTGTCCCTTGGTGAAGAAGTGGATAAAGAGTCCCAGGTTTTCTTCGGCCAACGAGCGGTCCAGTAAGGCGCATAGTCCAAGGCAGAGGAGACCTCTTTCGCGAACAGGTGCCTCGTGGCTCCGTACAGCTGGAACTACCAGGTTGTTCAGCATGGACACCAAGTCTGTATTGTCCTTAAGGTTTCCAGTGACGTGTGTAAGCATGCATTGGACAATGTGAAGACACTTCAAGTTGATGATAATTTCTCTCACTGCCTTCTCTTGAGCCTCCTCTTCAGTCAGCTCAGTTTCCTTTTTGGAATCAGGGGCAG